GATAACCCTGAAGGAGCTGCCAAGTTCCACAGCAGAAGAGATTGGAGTATTGTCCATAGGATCACTTTAAGCCTTACACTCACAGAGCTGGGCTTTACAGAAGAGTGGGCAGAAAAACGCCATTGCTTACAGAAAAAAATAAGTAAACACGTTTGGTGTTCACCAAAAGGCATGTGGGAGACTCCCCAAATTGAGCTTTTTGGCCATCAAGGAAAACGCTATGTCTGGTGTAAACCCAACATCTCTCATCACCCCGAGAACACCATCCCCACAGTGAAGCATGGTGGTGGCAGCATCATGCTGTGGGGATGTTTTTCATCGGCAGGGACTGGGAAACTGGTCAGAATTGAAGGAATGATGGAATGCGCTAAATACAGAGAAATTCTTGAGGGAAACCTGTTTCATTCTTCCAGAGATTTGAGACTGGGATGGAGGTTCACCTTCCAGCAGGACAATGACCCTAAGCATACTGCTAAAGCAACACTCAAATGGTTTAAGGGGAAACATTTAAATGTCTTGGAATGGCCTAGTCAAAGCCCATACCTCAATCCAATTTAGAATCTGAGGTATGTCTTAAAGATTGCTGTACACCATCGAAACCCATCCAACTTGAAGGCGCTGGAGCAGTTTTGCCTTGAAGAATGGGCAAAATTCCCAGTGGCTAGATGTGCCAAGCTTATAGAGATATACCCCAAGAGACTTGCAGCTGTAATTGCTACAAAAGGTGGCTCTACAGAGTATTGACTTTGGGGGGGGGGTGAATAGTTATGCACGCTCAAGTTTTCTGTTTTTTTGTCTTATTTCTTGTTTGTTTGTTCTTCAAAGTGGTAGGCATGTTGTGTAAATCAAATGATACAAACCCCCAAAAAATCAATTTTAATTTCAGGTTGTAAGGCAACAAAATAGGAAAAATGCCAAGGGGGGTGAAAACTTTTGCATATTATGGCAAGAACAGCCCAAATAAGCAAAGAGAAACGACAGTCCATCATTACTCTAAGACATGAGGGTCAGTCAATACGGAAAACTTCAAGAACTTTGAACGTTTCTTCAAGTGCAGTCGCAAAAACCATCAAGTGCTATGATGAAACTGGCTCTCATGAGGACCGCCACAGGAATGGAAGACCCAGAGTTACCTCTGCTGCAGAGGATAAGTTCATTAGAGTTACCAGCCTTAGAAATTGCAGCCCAAATAAATTCTTCACAGAGTTCAAGTCACAGACACATCTCAACATCAACTGTTCAGAGGTGACTGTGTGAATCAGGTTTTCATGGTCGAATTGCTGCAAAGAAACCCTACTAAAGGACACCAATAAGAAGAAGAGACCAGCTTGGGCCAAGAAACACGAGCAATTGACATTAGACCCGTGGAAATGTGACCTTTGGTCTAGAGTCCAAATTGAAGATTTTTGGTTCCAACCGCCGTGTCTTTGTGAGATGCGGTATGGGTGAACGGATGATCTCCGCATGTGTAGTTCCCACCGTAAACCATGGAGGAGGTGTGGGGGTGTTATGGTGTTTGGGTGCTTTGCTGGTGACATTGTCTGTGATTTATTTAGAATTCAAGGCACACTTAACCAGCATGGCTACCATCGCATTCTGCAGCGATACGCCATCCCATCTGGTTTGGGCTTAGTGGGACTATCATTTGTTTTTCAACAGGACAATGACCCAACACACCTCCAGGCTGTGTAAGGGCTATTTTACCAAGAAGGAGAGTGATGGAGTGCTGCATCAAATGACCTGGCCTCCACAATCACCCGACCTCAACCCAATTGAGATGGTTTGGGATGAGTCGGACGGCAGAGTGAAGGAAAAGCAGCCAACAAGTGCTAAGCATATGTGGGAACTCCTTTAAGACTGTTGGAAAAGCATTCCAGGTGAAGCTGGTTGAGAGAATGCCAAGAGTGTGCAAAGCTCTCATCAAGGCAAAGGGTGGCTATTTTAAGATATATAAAATATATTTTGATTTGTTGAACACTTTTTTGGTTACTACATGATTCCATGTGTTATTTCATAGTTTTGATGTCTTCACTATTATTCTACAATGTAGAAATTAGTACAACAATTAAGAAAAACCCTTGAATGAGTAGGTGTGTCCAAACTTTTGACTGTACTGTAATTAATTTAGCAGATGCTCTTATCACACCATAGTGCCATCAGACTTTTGATACCAATGTAGAGTGAAAGGGGGACAACTATAAAGAAATGGTATAGAAAAGTATTTTGAAAATACAAATTACAGCTTTCGAAAGTTCATTGGCGTATAGTTCAGCCCAATGTAATACAACATTCAAAATACTCAGAAGTAATTCAAATAGGTATTTCAAATACATGTAACAGAAATACTGCCCATCTCTGATCGTAGATCAATAACCAAGCATCAACAACCCAACCTGGCTCTGGCAATGGGTTGTGAAATGACCCAAGTGCTCGTTCAAAATAACCCAGCATTTGTTCTGTCCAATATTTACCCAAATTGAATTGTTTTTAACCCAGCATTTTGTTTTGTCCATCACCCAACCAAGCGGACACATGTTAGAGGTAGCTGCCCGATTGAACCCAAACATAATTCCATAATTTAGCATGCATTGGAGAGATTAAAATGGAAAGGCGAATGGCCTAAATAAATGATAGTGTATAGTGCTCTTTAATCTCCGGTGATGGGGACAATATCTAAATTATCCTTTTGACTAAGCACTCGATATCAAGTGAAGGCTATTCGCCATTGTTAAAAACCACTATCCATCGGAGATGCACGATGCAGAATTTTACAATCAGATTCAGTTACAAATGCATGTTTATCTAAAGATATAGGCCTACGGAGAGTCCTGATCTGCCAATGGGGTTTGAGTTTACAGGAGGGTATCGAACTAGTTTGTATGGCGTAACTGTATTGGTTGTCAACGGAGTGAAGGGCACCTCTGGATACAGCGGATTCAGCACCATGGACAGAGCACCCAGCGGTTGGCTACCGACACATCCACAGCCAATACGGTCTCTAGCGCTACGATTGCGAGAGCGACATAGCAGAAACAGCAGCTTACAGCGCGGACCAATAGGATGACTGCATATCAGTTTCACAGCCAACCCGAATATCTGCAGATGCCTGCATCAAAGCGTCGAGATTTTTGCTGGTTTGCTTAAGGATAAGCCATCTATTTTAAGAATCTGTAGTATACATTTGATCGTTTTCTTTTCTATGTTCACACCTTCCTTTTCTTCTTTCTCGCCTTTCCCTACGGCGTGTTTGAGAAAGATACCCGCATCTGTCTGCTTCTTCGGGAGGACTGAGATAACAGCCGTGCTATTGATTTTTGCTCTTCAATGGAATACATTTTTATACTAATAGCGAGTGTTGGCAATACATTTCGCATCTGCTGTGTACCGGTATTGCCCTCTATGAGAAAGAGATTATTCCATTATTCTTAGCTGAAGATTGAGACACCACACATAGACACAACAAGAACCGTGAAACGTTCATTCATAGAGCTTTCAGTTCCATAGCGCCTTCTCCAGGACCGTGGACAGCGCTTGTGTCAGTGGCCGCAGCTCGGAGTGAAAAACAACTATTAGGCCTATCAGTTCATCACAATCATCAAAAGATACTCAAGAATTGACTAATAGTAAAGATCACAAGCCGTGATTCCATATGGATTATACCAGAAGACTCTACTGATTTGAAGGTAAGTAATTGTGCCTTTATGAGCAGTTGATATTCTGCAGCTTGTCAGCATCATTATCAAGTGATTTAATCAACATGCTATAAACAATACAGTATATTTGGTTTCTTTATCATTGCACTGTATTTGTCTTTATTGGGCACGATTAAGGCAACCATTTTAAAATCACAGTGCAATTTTTTGCTTGCATTTCCATATCTTGTTAATGGTTAATTGGAGAAAAAATATGTCTTCAATAATAGGTCATCAATAAACAATATTGATCAATATCACAAATAAAAAACATGTAACATCAACAAATATAACATCTATATCTATATCAACGCTGTCTTGTGCTAAAGGGGATGGTGTTTTCATTCAAGGCTTCCATTTTGAAGATAAGATGGATGCTTGCGCACATTTCTTTATCATGCTTCAGTGGCCTTATCTTGCTCCTTATATAAAATTAATAGTAACGATGTAATGTTTGGCCTGGTTAGATTAATTCGAATTTGCATTCGAAATATTAGACATAATACATCTTATAAATGATATTAACATCATGGCTGAAATGAATATTAAACAAATCCTCATTTCAAAAGTGTATAGTGAATGCTGCGAGATTTGGCCGTTATGAATGAACGGTCTCTGAGGTGTTATACAGCCCAAGGTCTATTCATTGATCTGTGACTAACAAAAAAAACATGCAACTTTGACTATCCTGTAAACACAGGCTATTTAATAAACGTGATAATTATTTATAGCCTAATTAACACACAAGGAACTGATTGATTTATCCAAACCAAGCTGTAAAGGAATTTGATTTGGTTAGAAGTTGGGCATCTTGATTACTTCTGTTTTAAAGATAGGAAGTCTGATGTATATCAACTGAACAAACTAAAAACTGTGTTTGAATTAAACACTAAATATTAATACTATTTTAATGTAATATTTCTTATGTAATATGGCCTTCCAATTAATACAAATAATACAAAATGCTTTACCCCTGCATTTTCCAAGATCAACAGTTGTTGTTTTAATAACCATTGGAAATGCATTCAGCAATCAATGTACAGCTCATCTTCAATACATTTTTCACCCAAATCCCAAATGTTTACCATACACAAAAAACGCTGTAGCATACTACTTTGTAATGCACTTTCTATTCTGTTTATTGACAGGTACCATTTCCCCTCTCAGATAACAAGCATATTTGGTTCTTCCCATTAAAAACATTTTGGTCAGATCCCCCAGAGAAGAGAACCAACTCTCCCTCCATAACTCTCTCCCCCAGAGAAGAGAACCAACTCTCCCTCCATAACTCTCTCCCCCAGAGGAACGATGGGTACCGTTCTGTCCCTCTCCCCTAGCTACCGGAAGGCGGCCCTGTTCGAGGATGGCCCGGCCACTGTGGGCCACTACACGGCCGTCCAGAACAGCAAAAACTCCAAGGACGCCAAGAGCCTCAAGCGCCAGTCCCTCATCAGCGTGTTGCCATGGAAACGCATTGTGGCGGTATCGGCCAAAAGGAAAGGTTCCAAAAAGCTCCCACCCGACGATGGGCAGAAGGTCAGCACTGAGCACACCATCACCAACAGCCAGAAGCTGAAGAAGTCCCAGTCCTGCGCCAACTTGTCCTCTTTCGCCACGCAGGAACCCACCATAGCTGCCACCATCCCCACCTCCAAGACCGTCTCCAACGTGGCCGCCACCGCCAAGAAGAACTCGCTGACCTGTTCCACGGGGGGCCAGGCAATGAACGCGGGCACGCCCAAGCGGGTGATCGTCCAGGCCTCCACCAGCGAGCTAATGCGTAGCCTGGGTGAGTTCCTGTGCCGGCGCTGCTACCGGCTGAAGCGTCTGTCCCCCACCGACCCAGTGCTGTGGCTGCGGAGCGTGGACCGCTCCCTCCTCCTCCAGGGCTGGCAGGACCAGGGCTTCATCACCCCGGCCAATGTGGTCTTCCTCTACATGCTGTGCCGCGATGTGGTCTCGTCTGAGGTGGCCAGCGAGCGGGAACTGCAAGCCTCTCTGCTCACCTGCCTCTACCTGTCCTACTCCTACATGGGCAATGAAATCTCCTACCCGCTCAAGCCCTTCCTGGTGGAGACTGAGAAGGAGGCCTTCTGGGACCGCTGCTTGGAAATCATCAACCGCATGAGTGGCAAGATGCTGCAGATCAACTCCGACCCGCACTACTTCACCCAGGTGTTCGCCGACCTCAAAAACGAGAGCAAGAAGGAGGAAGAGAAGACGAGGTTGTTGATTGGCCTCGACCGATAAGAGGAACCTTGGGAGGACGGTAAAGGGAGGAATAGGGGAGAAGTGGGACGGGTGGGATGTGGATAGGGTCAGGGTGGCACGCACGACTACAGAAAGAACAGGAGCGTTGTCTGGTGTTCCCATCTTGTATTAGTAGGAAATTGGTTTAGCTGGAGGCCCATAATGGCCAATCAGGAGGCTCTGGTGACATATATGATGTTAACAAGGCCAATGTTTGGGCATTAAAGTACTTACAGACAATCGCACAGATACAATTACTGATAACCTTTATGTTGAGTGAACAGTAAAACACTGCCTTCAGGACATTTGATAACAGAGATGCAGCGGGGCCTGGGGCTGGGCACATATTAAATATTACTTCAACAGCAGCCAAACCTGACAAGATTACATTGATAGAAAATGATGACCCCTCATAAACCCGAAACAGGTCATCAAATGTCAGTGACTAGAGTAAAAGGAAGAATGGCTGAGTAAAAGACAGATACATTTTATGTGTCCAGATTCAGAGTCAAGAGAATCACTTTAGGGACTTCAGAAAGCTGTGAGGCCACTGCATCCCTTTTCCCCCCTCTCCAAGCTGCATCGGCATCCTCACTGACCCTAAATATTAAACACAGACAGTGGAAACACCAGACAACATCACTGTAGTAGTCTGCTCGTGTACTGTACATAGTTAGGGGGGAAAAAACTAAGAGTCATCAAAGCAACCAAAAGCAGAGCTAAAGAGAGGATCCGTGTGGATTCAACAGGGAAATATGGGGGCACAAGAAACATCATGATCCCACTACGCATGAGACCACGTCCCATGTCATCACGTGTCCCCTCAGGACATCACGTTTTCATATGTCTTAACATGTCCTCTCACATCTTAACTTCCTCCACACACAATCACCAATTGCCAATACCCCCTACCTCACCACCAACAATAGCCCTGCCCAAGTCTACCCCCACAACATTGCACTTCTTCCCACAACAAGCATGCCTGGTTTTATTTCACCATTAACAGATAAGAGGGTAACATTGCCAAATCTCACCACCTACCACAGTTCTGATTTGTGTTTTGGTATGGAGAGGAGGCTAGTCCTCATCGAATAAAGTGATATGGAAGGCCAGTAGAACATACTGCTGAGTTGATTGACTTCCATTGACCCAAAACAACACTAGTCGAGAACTACAGGAGACTATTATTGTGGCAATTCATGTGATGTGTCCACCTGCTTGGTTTCCATTAAGGACAGAACAAAATGGATTCTCCATTAAGTCATCTCCCTTAAAGAGACTATTCCCTCCCCACTGATGGTTATTTATGTAACCACTTGTGTTGACATGCATGTGTGCTTCTATGGGTTTCTAGCATGCTGCTTTGTGTTCGCACACCACGGCTACTTCCCAAATGGCACCTTATTTCCTATGGAATGGGCTGCTCTGGCCAAAAGTAGTGCACTACATAGGGAATAGGGTGCCATTTGGGACATACCCCCACATTATTTTAGACTGAGAGCAGTATGCTGCAATGCTGCCCTTACCTTAACTGATTATGAAGTTATGATTACTGATTATGAAGTCTTCGTTCTGATGAAATCCCACCTCCTGCAAGGTTGGGAGGCGAGAGTCCTGTGCCATATCGTTCTGAAGATGAGGATTTATAAAAACAACAACGCAAGTCTTGGATCATCATGTAGAACAAGAAAGACTTCTTAAAGCAATCACCCAATACATTTCATCAGTTATTATTATAGTATTGTGTATGTATGTTGGAGATGACAGAGCCAGTGACTTGTGTTCTACCAATGGAACTCAATGGCAACATGTAACAAGATAAATATTAATTATCTGCCCATTTCAGAATCTCCATTGACTTGGCTGTGTAGCGCTCAATTGAAACTGCCATTGATATTATCAACAGTCTCAAACCTCATGAAAAATATGCATATGAAAATCAGATTGCAGAGCCTGCATACATGTTCTTCCTGCATGATGTGTTTGGGCTGGATTGAACGGTAGATAGCTCATGTATAAGTGACTTTCAGATACAATTTGAATTATTATTATCAAGACATGTTCTTTGCTGTTGAACCAAGTTGTGTGGTATGGGTTCAGTGCTTATTCTCATACAATACAATCATTTACACTTCCATGTGCTTGAAACAGTTACTGAAAAGAAAAGAAAAACTGTCCACTGAGGGTTTGCTGCTTCCAAATTGATGCTAGTAAGTGAAAATTAGAATATTGCTCTCTTTTCATTGCTATTAATGTTTATAGCTCCAACCACATTTGAATGTGTGTAATTATTCTCTTTACAATTTCAGATAGTTACTGTGACTGGTAAAATATTGACATCTGGATATTTTGCAAACTTTATCTATAGGCCTTCCAGTAAAATGCACATGTGCAAACTGGCCAATAATACTGATGAGTAGAAATGTAGTGGAAATGACAGGCAGTGAAACTTCTAGACTTCTATATTGTATAAAGCAACAGAGATAGTGTCTGCCAGGTGGAGTTTCCGCCATTTTGTTTTCACGTATTCAGTCCATTCAACTCAGCAAGGGCAAGTCGCAAAGAACAGAGGGAATGAAACAAATGTTTGGAATGGAACACCCAGCCTGTTTGGAATGGAACACTGAGCCTGTTTGGAATGGAACACAGCCTGGGACTCTATGGAACTCTATGGAGAGAGGTGAAGTTCACCCTGTATCCTCTTATTTCTTTGACTAAGTCATAACTATGTGCCATGTTTTCACTTGCAACACAAACAAGACAACACATTTGTACAATACAAAGTTAATGGGGTTGTTTAATTATTTTCCCTTTTCATTTGTGAATCATATTGTGTGCAATTTTGTTGAACTACTCAAGTCAAAATAGTGTTATTAGAGTAAAGATGAGGCAATCTGTGACTAATGTATGTGGATGTATGACTATGTATGTGAGTGAGAAGAATTTGATCAACTGTTACATTTCCTTTATATAAAAAACACATTTGCAAGCCTTTTTAAATGTTCTATTTCTTTGTGTCTGATCGTGTGAATGAATGTTGAACATTGAGGAAGCAAGAACTCCATCTTACACAGATAGGCTTGGTGGAATTTTCACTGTATTGGATACACCAATCCTGTCCCAGGGACCACACACTATAAAACCATAATGCAGACAGGCCGAACGCTTTGCACCCCCTAGCCATATAAAGCCCTGTATAAACAAGATGAGAGTAAAAACCTTCCATTCATCTGTAGGCCATGGAAGCCACCCCTGGAGGCCTCCTGAGTGGCGCAGCGGTCTAAGGCACTGTATTGCAGTGCTAGAGGTGTCACTACAGACCCGGGTTCGATCCTGGGCTGTATCACAACCGGCCGTGATCGGGCGGCGCACAATTGGCCTAGCACCATCCGGGTTAGGGGAGGGTTGGGCTGAGTAGGCCGTCATTGGTTCTTAACAGACTTGCCTAGTTAAATGAAGGTTTTAAAAAAAGAACTTCACTTCCCATGAGCCTGCACTACCCAGTCTGGCCACAACGAGGCAGTAGCGCGTTGTGGCACATCATGCTTGGAGATCTGAGATGATAGATACTGTATCTAAGTACCATCATGGAAATAGCTTAACCTTTCCCTCTGATAGGCTAGGTGGAATGTTGGATAAGAGAGGATTAGGTTGCTTAATATGTCTGCCAAACTGTAGCCTATGGCTGCTGAGGTAGCCTCTCTTATCCATGGCAGGCCGACTTGAGATGACTACATTGCAGAGAATCACAGATCTACAAATCACGCCTCCCAAATAACTGCTTACTATGTGATTAGGACTAGCGATTTTGCACCTTGTCTCGCTCAAAGGGAACCCCCCTTAAATACACTGTGCGCATTGCCTTGCTCAAACGCTATTCTGCTGCGGGGTGGGCAACCGCAGTGCGGAATGTCCTTCTCTAAAGTGGTGGAGTGGTTAGGAGGAGCTGTCCACGGTCGGTGGTGCTGAACGGGCAGCTAGCTGTTTGTGTGAGAGCCTCTGTCCCTGGTCCTGACCAATGTAGAGGCTCTGTCTGCAGTGCTGAAAGGAGCGCCTTCGCAAGATACCACACACCCAGCACAGTTTAGAATCTAGATTCTAGCTGCTTATTCACAATTGCAGATAACAATAGTAATCTATAAACTTCAATAGCTACATTGTGTGTAATTTGCCCATATTATTTACTAGTAAACTAGGCTACATACAATGTTGCGTTAAGATCATAGCTTGGTTTAATAAAATAATTGTATTGAGAATACTCAACATTAAACAAAGAATAGGCTACATGGATAATAGTGTGTAAGAGTGGGAGGGGGGAACACAATCGTGCAACGTGAGGGACTGATATTTTGCTAGGGCTAACTCTGAATTCGGCCAATCAAAATCGAATGCGTTGCACTCGTCAGTCGTGCTGTGTGTGTAGCGTTGGTTCCTCCTGCGTAGCTAGGTAGGTAGGATACAGTCCATCTGCTGTCAATGCTGCCGACTGCCGTATGAATTACCATTCAGAGCTGCACCTCTGAACATCACCAAACGCGAAGATGGCGGCCCGGGTAAGATATTTTCTCGTTTGTTCAATATCTCCTTGTCAACATCAACATTTTCTTTCGTTGTAAATAGGATACAATGCCGAGTGCGACGTATGGCTTCCAGGTACGCGAAGGAAGGGGGTTGCCAGCCTTCAAATGGCAAGAAATGTCGGCTCTGCTCTGCTATTTCAATGCAGAATGTTTTTTACGCCCTGGCATTCAATTTGATAGGCACCCGCCCAATCTGGTTTTTGACAGGTCGCAGAAATAATTGACCTGTCTTGTATAATCAGCCTACAGTCAGCGCTAGGAAACTACAGACCTCTACAGCTAGCCACTGCATAAACTGAGTGCGTCGGTTGAAGCTAATCCTGGATTTTACATGCCCTTTAGCCGACGGAATGCTTAAAAGGGCTATTGAAACCTTTTATAGGATATCTGTGCAAAAAGTGCTTGTAATAATTTGTGAAA